ATTCTTACTTTACAGCATTTTTTCACACCTGCCTAAAACTTTTGCACAGTACTGTATATGACATATACTGCTTTTCTATCTAACTACTTAAAGCAGTAACAAAACCACAAAATAATACAGTCTGAAGCAGATGAAAAATACTGAAATCATTAAGGCTGAATTAATATTCTGAGACTAAGCCGTACTTGAACGTAGCAGGGCTTACTGCTGGGAATACAAGCATGGGTTTCTGCTGTAAATTGTCACTTACAGAATTGTCTTCCTCAACTAAATTATAATTCTGTTGCTATTTCCCCACAAACAGCTGGAAACATAACCATTAACTGGTACTCCCTAAGGATTGTATGCAAAATTCTGATATTTGGAAGAAGCCTGAGTGAGGAATATAAGAAGATTACATTGACAGCGGTAAGGAATACTTCAACTTTATTCGGCTTAACACAAAGCAGGATTTGTGTTAACCATTGTTTTTAAATAAGCCAGAATCAGTTTTGCAGATTAAAAAAACATAATAATTTGTACAACCAAGTCTTGTTTTTCCCTCCATTTCTTCTGAAAGTTCTAGGTCGAACACAAAAACAAACTAAACCATGATTTTGAATTAAAAAATAACAGCAAACCTTGTGTGTAGACCAGCATGGTTTAAAATAGTGATCTGCCCCCTCCTCAAAATATTATGGCTCCCCTCTTGCAATGGGCTCACACATTACAATAATCTAAATATCAGCTGTTCGCTGGGGGGATAAATAAAGTGAAGATGGGCCATGTGATTGAAGCTCTGCCCCCTTTTTACTTGCATAAAAAGGGGGCAGGACTTTAATTACATGGTTGTGGCCATCTTGACCCTTTTAAACATCCCCACCTGTAGATGTTCCTGCAGCAGTATTATATATGGGAAATAATCAAATAATGATGAGAGTTACATGCTTATTTATTTACTATTTCCAAATATGTGAATTTAAGCTTGGGTACCAATTGCCATTTGGGAATAAAGAATCCAATTTATAACTTTGCTCAGGCTTTCAGCTGTATGTGCATGGGGCTGACAGTAGGTAGGGAAAATGTTCTCTCATACCTTCCTGCATTCAGGTGGCGGTCTGAAGTAGAGCTGTTCTCAAACTTCTTCCATAAAAGGTAAAACAGGTTTGCACCCATTGAGGGAAGCCATTTTTACATTAATGAGTAAACCAATAATTCAGTTAAAAGCAAGCCTTATATACTGTATTTGTGCCTGAATTGTGTATAATGTTTGCTGTGGATGGGAGAAAAGTCCTTACAGGCAGGTGGACCCAGTATTCCAGTTGTGTTGGTGTTTGTACAGTTGTTCACTATGCAGATTCCCAGCAACACATAGCATTTTTAGTCTCTGAAACTCGGCAAATAAACTTGTCCTACTTACTCTGGGTTCCTATGCTAACACATATACTTTACTCCCATAGTTGCTTGATGTCTATGTAGCTGGGAATTGTTTACAAACTCTTTGATTAGCTGAGATCACTTCCACATCAGTGTTTTGCACTGGTCTGACATTAGCTCTAGACCCGGCTAATCTTACAACATGATTTGCTTTCAGGAGTTGAGTTGATTTATTTCTGATTCTGCTTCAGTTTATTTGAAATCACAGTACAGCTGCTATTTTCTTTTCAGTTGCTTCAGTGCAGGCCTGGTTTCTCATTGGTAGGAGCCATTGCATGACTCAACCTCCTCCTTCTGGTCACAAGGCTCAAGCCAACCTTTACTTTTCCCCCTCCCCACCACCCAAGGTTCATCATTCTGTTCCTAGAGCTTGTTTCTTCCTTTATGCACTGTTTAGAATGGTGCTGGCTGGGGAATTCTGAGAGTTGAAATCCGCACTTCTTAAAGTTGCCAAGTTTGAAAAACACTGGTTTAGGACTTGCCTCTCTTCTTTCCTGATCCAATAGCCACATTAACATGGAATCATGATCATAGTTCTTCAGAGTTCTGGGGGGCAAATGTACAAGCATGTTCTCATGTTACTTCCATATCCCATAAGGGTTTTTAAATGCAACTGAGGGATGGTGGCAAGGCAGCTGGTAACACTTGGGAGGATTTCAATGCTTTTATTTCTATACATTGGTCTCTCTTCACATAGCTTCCAGTGTGGATAGCAACGTCTCAGATTATCTTGCAACCCACCAGAAAAATACAGATAAATATATTTATTGAAAAACATGAATTGTCTGGGGTGAGGGAACTACTAATTTATTTTATTATCTTTTTGTGTGAAATGAGGGTGAAAGAATTTTGTTCCTTCTTAACTGGTGGTAGTTCAGGGGATAAACCCAGTATGCACCCTCTTTTTGGTCAGCTGGAGGGAAAGTGGGTGTGCTGATTGACTTATGATGTTCTTTGTGCATTTTCTGAGTCTTGAGTTTTCACAGAAGAGAAAATGATTTTGAAATGGTTCCAAATTACTCTGTGAGGGATTGAGGGATGAAAATGCTGATAATGTAGAAGTGTCCAGAGTGATTTTTTTCCCCAAACAAGTGGGTAATTTCCTGCTTTTTATTTACCTCAAGTAGTTTTGTTGTTGAAACCCACCAATGCCACTATCTGATGTGCTACTTCAGCATTTAAATAGCCCCTTTATTGTGGTTCTCTCTGCTTAGTTATAATGTGTTTTGGTCTGGTTTTTAATATCTCTCAAATCTGGTATTCTGTTTCATCTTAACTTGCTGCTAGATTCTGGCTTTTTTAAAAATTGGAACTCCATCTTGTTTTCCACAAGGCTTTTTTCTTCTCTGTGGCCCCCTTGCAGATTTTATTCTTAAATAATAAATAAATAAAAGTCAGCCTGGGGTAGAATTTGAAAAGCTTTCATTTCTTTCCCTATTAAATCCATTTTCTTCATTCATAGAAGTCTTTCCTTTTGTTCCATTAATATTCTTTCCCCTTTAATCTTTCCTAATTACCCCCTCCTCCAGACCCAGGGGGCAGGAAATGGAAAAGCAAGTCACCTGATTTGCAGTTTATCTATTTTCTTGATCATATGCTTTGTTATCTTTTTTTTTCCACATCAGGTGATTGGAGGCTTGTTCTCTGTCTGTATAAGGGAATCAGGCCCTTATAATCTCTGCCAGATGTTAGCCTGTCTGGATGACAGAACAGAATCTTCAGGATGCTGGAGACTCATTCTGTGGGGTCCTCTCTAGAGCACATTATGACAGTTCTTCTCTAGCCAGTCTAACTCTGATTATTCTGCTATTTGTTGATTGTAGCTGATAATGAAGCTCATTCTGGACATGGATTTAGCACTTTTCCAGAAGAGTGCTAAACCCACGTCCAAAAGGAGCATGAAGAACAGCTGACAGAATTGGGGAGGGTCATGCCATGAAGCAGCAGAGAGTTCCCTCTCCTGTTTCACCATGCAGCCACCTACCACCCCTGCTGGTCAGTCACTGGTCAGGCTGATCCAGGTCTCTGAACCAAGGATCAGTCTGTGATGGGTACAGGAGGAAAATCTGGGTTGAAATAATTAGATTCTCCTGATGCCTAAAGCAGAATGGTCCTGGCAGCCGGTGCCCTGGGACTGGAGGGGAGGGACATCCCTGCACCAGTCTAAGTGATGGATGCCAGGCTGATGCCATCTCCTAAGGGTCATCTGGCTATGTGGGTTACAGAATGGTCAGAGAAGCATTTAGATTACACCCACAACAAAAACTATTTTGAGATAAGAGGGAAAACACTACAATATCAGCAAAGCTAAGGATGACAAGAATGCCTCAGGTAGGAAATGGGGGATCAGATGAAAGCAATGTCCTGAGGCATGTTTGTACCAGGATAAAGTAGAAAAGGCTGGCAGAAAGACTAAGTGGTCTTTAGCTGTACCAAAGAATACTTTCCTCTTAAGCCAGCAGTATCCAGCAAACAGTCACATGGTGTGTAAAATCTGTTGTGCTTCATCATCTAGTATGTCATAAGCGAAGTCAGGGCACTGGCAGTGACTAGGAACAAAAGCAGAAGAGGCAGGATCAGACTTGGCAACAAGAAGAGCAAATTTCAAGCTGGGATAGTTTTCTGCTAGCTCAGGGATGAGTGGAGAGCACTGGATGATTTCTGACAAATTCCACTTCTTCTCTTACATAGCTCTGGGTGTTACTTTCCTCTTTTTTTTTCTTTTTACCTAGACCATTTCTAATACATAAATATGATTTATTATTCCAGTTTTGTACCTTGCCTTTCCATCTCTAGGATACTCAGGACAGTTGACAGAAAGCCCTACAACCGTAATATAAGCAAGGTAGTTAAAATTGCTCTACTCTCTCATGTTCTGCCTTTTCCCTACCTCACTCTTTTGCATCTCTCTCAACTCTTTCCCATATTTATTCTGCCCAATTCTTTCCATCTCCTGCTCCCAGCCTTTCCTAACCTGATGTACCCACCACTCCTGCTGCCCTGGGTCATCATGGGGTGATGGGAATTCTAGTCTAATCCATATAGAGAATGAAAGATTAGAGAAAAACGTCCAGTTTGAAATAGCAACCTTTCTCTTGAATTCTTTTCTCCCAATTACAGCTCCAAAGTGCTCCAGGATGATGATGATTGTTTTTGTCTGTCTAACAAATATTGTTGTTTTTAGACTGTGTATTTCCAGTGATTCAGATTCTAACCAAGAGCCTAGGCGTCATGGAGATATTGTTGCAGTAAATAGGAAGTTCCAAGCAAGATGTAATTTTGCAAAGTTGGAGATGTCAAGTCCAGTAAATTTATAGTTTCTAAATATTTGGCAAATCCCTTTGGTATGGCTCCAAGAGCTCCAATTACTATTGATATTATAGTTGACTTTTTCTTCCAAAATGTTTCCACTTCAATTTGCAAATCCCAATTTTTAAATATTTTTTTTATATTTATTCCTCAATTTAACAATCTCCTGGTATTGTTACGTTTATGAACTCTGCTTTTTTCTTTTCAATAATAGTAATGTCTGGTGTCTTCTGTTTCAGGTGTCTGTCAGTCTGTATTTTAAAATCCCACAAGATCCTAACCTCTTCATTTTCTATGACTTTTTTTTTAGATGTGTAGTCCTGGTAGCTTTTGTTAACAGGAAAGCCAAACTTTCTATATAATTTCCAATGTACAATTTTTGCAACTCTGCTATATGGAACTGCTGCTTATTCTGCTTCTGCCTCTGCCTCTGCTTCTCATTCTCTTTCTTCCTTTTCTAATGTCAAACTTTCCAAGCATGCTAGCCTTCTTAAACCATGATAGTTGGCCTCTTCTCCTCTTTCCTTTGGCTCCTCTAGAGGTGAGCAACTGTCAGTATAAACAAAATGCTGTAATAAACAAATAATGTCGCAGTTCAAGCCCTTCATTCTAAAGCTTATTTAGCTGGCTTAGCAGCAGTAGCAACTGGGAAAGCAGCAACTTTTTTCATTGTTTATAAACTC